GGGGGGGGGGGAAGGGGAGGATATCCCGTCAATGTCTGGGATGGTGCTTAAGGGCATGTACTTCGGAGTTTGTCGTCTAAATCGGGCAGCATCTTCGGCTAGATGCATGTATGAAGATGGTGCTGATGTGACTATGACTTCGATTCTGCATACTGGTCCGAGTTCTTGGACAGATAGAATGCGTTACTACTTGAGATGGGAGAAAGCAAACAGGGAGGTGTTTACGGAAAGGGAGGCACTTGCTCTCTGCCAAATCTGGTCGTTGTTTTTCGTCCATCGTCCTTTTGCAAACCTCTTCTCCTTTTCTTTGGCACTCTCCTCTGAATCTTCTTTCCTTTTCTATCTTCCATACCTGTTTTTTTTTTTTTCTTTCGTTTCTCTTAATTTGTCTATCAAATCTTGCAAACAATGATTTGTATGTTAATCACTGACACCTCTCAATGTCACTTTGGGTTTTGTTCTGCGAGGGTTAGCGTGGCGGTGCACTACTTTCCAAAAAGTCAAGCGAGGGGCATAATCTGTTTATTAAACTTTATTTATAATTTCATTTGTGTACCATTTCAGGGGGGATGCTGTGTTCGAGATGTCAGTGTCGATGTGTACATTTGTGTACCATTTCAGGGGGGATGCTGTGTTCGGGATGTCAGTGTCGATGTGTTCCCTGAGTGATAACAGACGTTCGTCGAAGGGACTTCCTGGCGACGCTGGCGTCAATGCTGGTTCATACTTACACTTTGACGAGTTTTTTTTTGTTGTTATAATTATTATTATTATTATTATTATTATTATTATTATTATTATTATTATGATTATTATTTGCAAGGAAAATGAGCGATAGCGAACTTCAGAAACCAAGCAGCGTCATACAAATGAGACCAGAGAGTCGTGACCAAAAGCAGAATTGCAACACGAGTCCCACCAACACAGCAAATGCTCGTAAGTGACAATATTGGAATAGTCTCATCATCATCAACAAAGAGCCAATGTCGACATCCTATCTGGCCCTCAGCGCCCAGACTGTAAATAGCAGATCCTATCTAGCCTATCTACAATGCCGCTGTCGAGCAGATCTCGACCAAGAGATCTCGACCAATGCCGTTCGCCTCAAGCACGAGGTATGTCTCTCGTATCACTCACAACCTCGATCACCCACTCACAGATGCCACGTGCACCCAAGGACCACCATGCGCCCCATCCAGCATACAGCAGCGCAGCTCGGCTATGGCTGCCTGCTCCTTCCAGCTTGAGCAATGGCCAGCGTTAGCGCAGCAGCGCTTGCGCAGCGTGCAGCCAGTGCCCGAATGCCGAATGCAGGGGCAGGCACTTTCCTAAATGGAACTGGCCTGCCTGCTGCGACCTGACTGCACTGGGCCCCAGCCCAGAAGCTTCTGGTAGGCCCCGGGAGGCTGAGCCCCAGTCTGAACGAATCAG